ATCCCTGTCGAGGGTTCCACTTTTGGCGCGGCCGACGATCCCTGGCGTTCTGCGCTCGCACGCTTGCAGCCCGTTTCGATTATGTCTCGAAAGGCGCTCGGAATGGCAAGAACGCTGACATAGCAGAAATGCGGTTCAGCCAGAAAATCGAGCACTGTTTGACTTCCTCGTTGATATCGATGTCCTCGCTCGTCTACTCACAAGCAGGGCTGGTCGTCGCTTCCCGTGCACTCCGATTTTCACGCTCCGATTTTCCAGAGTATGCGGAAACCTCCGCCGATCTTCCGGGGTATTCTGACATTGGCCCCTTCGTTTGCGGGGGTTTGTACTACATCGTCTAGAGTCATATGGAGGGATACTCATCGATCGGCGTGGGCGCTTCCGGTTGATCGGTTTCTTGACGACCGACAAGTTCTCTGGAACAACTCGCCAGAGCTCTATGGAGATAGCTGGAACTTCCGCGCCCGATGATGGCGGCGCCCAAGAAGCCCGCGCCCGAAGGGCTCTGAGCCAATGTCCTCGCTCGGATAAATTTGTTCCATTGCATTGAATTAGATCAGCTGTCTGCCGTCGGATCTCTTGTGAAGTCCGACTCGAAATTCAGCTCTGTGTGCTTGAAAACTCGCGAACTCTCGTCTGAAGAATGGCTTCGACATCTCGATCGATAGCTTCCCAGAGGGGTGCACCCGAGAAAATCCACGACGGACACGTGTATATTCGAGAAGAGCGGAGTAAGGACGGTTTCACGCAGTTCTGGCGACGTGAACGAGTCGGGGTGATCATAGCGCGGTTGCATACCTCCGTCACCACGGGTGAAGACGTCAAGCTAATCGGCATCCACAACGGTGATCCTAATCCAGCAGGCATCGAGATCGCTAGCAGGATGCGCGCCCTGAAACGGCGCGCGGTGGAGAATCAGGAAACGGCTTGGGGAATAACTTTTCCAAAATGATCCTCAGACGTCGGTAGTTTTCACCCATGCAATCAATCGATCGAATTTCTCCAGGTGAAGGCGAGCCCGACCGTATCCTGCTGTTTGGTCGCGAATCAGTTTCGGAATGGATCGGTATGGCTTCGAAGAATTACTTGAACGAAACGTTCAGCTTGTCTCCGCTCATATTCTACCCGATCCTGGTCATCCTGGCCGAGCGGGACAGATACGTCTCACCCGTATGCTACGCTCTTCTGCCCACCGAGGCTGAAGAAGTCTATCGCCGGATGCTGCGAATGCATCGGGTTCGGGAGGCATGGCCGACGCTAAATCCAACAGCAATCTCAACTCATCTTGAAAGAGGTCTCTTGAATGCCTTTGCCGATGCTTTCCCTGCCGCCGGAATGCACGGCTGTTCCGTCTCGTACAGAATCTCGAGAAAAAACTCGGCGAGCTGCATCTCATGGGACGCTATCGCAATGACGCCGACTTCAACCTTGCCGCACGCATTATCACTGGCCTTGCCTTCGTGCCTCCAGGTTGTCTGGATGATGTGATCAGGGACCTAGCGTTCTACCCCCCAAAGAGCTCATGCCAGTGCTAAAGTACTCCGAAGACACGTACGTCGGTTCGCTCCCCCACATCTTGCCTGACGGACGCGTAGTCCGTCGACAGCCCTTGTTCGCTGTCGAGATTATTATTCTCTCGTCGTCCATTGAGCTCACGGATGGGTTTGAGCACACGAGAAATTCCTCAAGTCACGAAGGCTCCGATGCTACGGAGAAAGGAATGAGAATCGAGCGTATACAATCATTTGTTTATTTCATTTCCCCCCGTTCGCCGTAGTGAACTTGAGTGTATACCGGATATTTCTCGATACCCTCCAATCAACTCTTCTGATCATACGACCCGTCGCGTCGATGTTGCAGACGGGTAGATTGTCGTCGCTTGGAAGTATTTATTTCTCCGAACATCTCCAAGAAGCATACGGAGGTCTCGGATCTTGTTGAGACGGTTGAGGCTGGCAAACCATCGGCAGCGTGGCACAAGCAAAAGCTGGAAGCGAACGACAGAAAGTTTCCTCGATCCGCTCCGAATCTTCAGCAAAAATTCGCCTGGCCTCTGAGAGCTCATGATGTTAGCCAAGGTTTCCGAAAAGCGTCGCGTCGGCGAGAGCTCGCAGCCCTCAATATCAACGACGGCCGTGAGAATCATCTTAGGAAGTCTTTCAGCGCGCTTCCTCCGGCCGCATCATCATCGAATGTGAAGGTAATCGAAACCCCAAGTCGGGCCGCCCTCGAACGACTAGCCCCACGTATCCGGGCTTCGAAGATGCTTCGGGCCCGTATCATGGCGAGATGCCTGATGTCCGGCATCGTAATCAATCATGAGAGAAGGAGCAATCTCGGAAGGCGGCGCTTGTGGAGAATTCACTCGGAATAAACGAGAAGACTCGAAGACAACTTACTCCTCCTCCCCCCTTGTCGAAGCTAGATTAGCGTTGGAGACTTCCCCAGGTCCCGTCTGACTTGCATTCCGAAATGAATCTGGAGACGCTTCTCACCCCGAGCTCCCCCGCGTTCCCTTGCTTCCTCAGGGAAGTTTCCCTTTTTGTTCGCAATCGCTCGCGTCAGAAACGCAAATAGTGGCGAAGCCGATGAGAAAACCTGTGGATGCAGTCATCGAGTACCATGCAATTCGATACCCGAAGGGGATCCGCTAGAATGGATAAGTACCTAGAGTCGAGACGGGCTTTCTGGAAGCTGGAGCGCCTAAGGAAGCCGAGGGGTTAGGCTCATGGGTCATGACCGACCGCTTTCAAATTCGGTGCGTCATGGTCGTTGAACTAATTATAAGACGAAATTGAGAGCTATCCTTCCTTCAGGAGGCAAGAGAGGCATGGGGAACTCGTCAGCATCTCGGACGCCCTTCACATAATGAGGGGAAAAGCCTGATTGCTAGCAGTTTCGAAGTGCAACATTGTCGTGGAGCGTTGCGAATGTCAGAACGAATGGGTGTGTTAGAACTCTTCGGGTCCTCGTCTTTCAGACAGCGCTGGGAGTTTCTCCTCTGACAATGATTGAGATAGGGAAGAGCATTCTCAGGTACCTTCTTCGCGCCATATTCGTGCAGTCATTCAGGGTGGATTCTTCTATTGCTCCATCAAGTCAGATGGTTCGAGTTTTTTCTCCTGAAGATTGGGGCGATCGATCTAGCCCCGGGGCAGCCAGATCGGACGACTCAGACGAGTCTTCCTAGCGAAATGGCAAATCGCGCGAATTCCGTCGAAGCTTCTCCGACCTACTTATACGGAGAATCGACTCGGATTATCGGTATAATAGTCCTACTCGTGACCCATGAGCTAATGAGCGCCATCATCCCTTGATAGGCGCGATACAAGGCTCGACGACCCGCCCTCCGACGAGAATCGTCCCGAGGGTCGCGACGCGAAACCTCTCCGGTCGTTGTTCTTCTCTTGTCGCGACTTTCCTGCCTCTCGAGTTATATAAAGCAATTATTCGAAGTTCGGATTACAGGGATAATTTTTCAGTGGCAGCATAAAGTCGGGCTGACGATGACCCTGACGATCTCTGGACAGCGCTGAAGTCCCATGAATCCGGATATCAGTGCGAGGACGGGGGTCAACGAGAGTACCTCTGATCGAGTTCCACCCCAACGATACCCACACCAGTCGATATGCTCGAAAACGGGTGCTCATGTGCACCGTGACGAGCGGTTCGGAGTTCGTTGCGTATGTACGGCTTCTGTGCGTATATGCCAGATGATAATCTCCACGAACTTTCCCCCGAAATTCAGAATTGGATCCGATCCACCGGGCATTGGCTCCCTGAACCTCCATAATGTTCTTCCTGATTCGCCTGGGACTCGAATGATGACATCGAAACTACGCAAGTCTAGAACTCAGCGCCATCTGTCTGTGAGACATCTGCTTCTCGATGAATTCCCCGACAGGCGCGAATGCTTGCCTAGTGCCAGGATGTGACTCACAATCAGACGGGGACCAATCAGCGGAGTTAAGAGAGGGGTTGATTCTCAGGATGTACGTAGGAGGGAGAATGCTCAGACTCTCTCGAAGTCAATTGAGCCATGAATATGACAGACCTCTCTTTAGCTGTGGCCACTAACATAAGTCGGATAAGAAGTCTGTTCCGAATCAATGGAGTGATTCGGAAGATGAAATCCGGCAGAGGAACTCTATGATAGCTCGTATCAAAACTCCTCAACTCCGACGCACCACAACAGACTAGTAAAGAGACGGAACTTCCAATTTCCACTTTGAGACGGAGAGTAGGTACCCTGACGACTGCGGATTTGGTTGGAAACAAACTTGTGTCCCACCCGACCTGTGGCCAAAATCATCGATGAGCTCCTCTACATACTTTGGTGCTCATACGCAGCGTGATGAGCGTCTCCGGATCGCAGCCTGCTGCTTATTAAGGCCTGCTGCTTCCTGCCAACTCTTGACCTCCTCGATCTAGCTGAAGGCTATGTCCGACCCGCCGAAGAATACAGTTCCCATAACCGTGCCTTGAATTTCCTGAGAAACTAACTGCCGTGAGAAATATGCGAGTCTGGAGCTCAGCGCAAAGAGTGCGGACGCAATCCCCTCCCTGGTGAGATTCTCGACAGGTGCAAGTTCTCTTCCCATGAGAGGATCTCACACAGACGAGGGCGAATCCTCAGAAGTAGAGAGTGATTGTTGCAATCTTCCGGGGATCACCAAAGTAGTTTTTTGCCGCCGCGTTCCTTCTGAGGGTCTGGTGCTTATCGTTTCTTCTTGTCCCTCGTCGACCATGAGCCATGACCTGAGGACAAAAGTATGAATTCCATCGACCTCACTCAGATGCGGAGTCGGTCGATCTCTCGCTCCGAGTTCCTGGAATGAAACCGGCCGGGATTTCGAACCGGAAGACCGAATGCTACCCCTCACAGGATATATCCCCACTCGTTGTCTCAAAGCTGGTGCGAATCAGCGGATTCCCCCGTCATGGACTGCACGCGAAAGATACTTATATTCAGAACTCGTGTGGAATCCCCTCCGAAGTGTTGCTGCTTCCATTTATTCATTCATATAAATCATTTAACGCATCACCCTCGATTTCAGCCTCTTAATAGACTGATTTCGTTCTCTCCGACGCAGCTCCAAACCTATCTACACTGAACACGGCACCGCAGTGTTTCTAATTGTACATTAAGGCATCCTCTCAGAGAACCTCGTTAAAATCCAAAGGAGCCCGTGAAGAAATTCATTCAACTTCTCCTGGCTCGGAGAACTCAACAAGTTTTGGAAAGTCTTCGTGTGTGGGTCTCTCGTTGCATCCCACGGAACATCATATATACAGAAGTATTTCCCGCCCTTCACAAACTCTTGCTGTTTGTTCATCTGCGAACTCCTAGATCTGGACAGAGAAGCTACCGATTCCGGCGTTCCGCTTCAGGCTTGTGATGCCCTCTACAGAGTGCATCCCAGGTCGATTTCGACGGACAACAATCAGGATCTTTCAATCAGATGATCATATTCGTAAGGTGCGTCTGACAAGGAAAAAGTCGACAGAAATCGGGTCGTGGATTCACTGCGCCTTTCCGTGTGATATATTCTTGATCTCGCAGTGAGACGGGATCGGATAATTTAACAGCTCGAACTCTGGCTATAAACATTGCTCCTGTACATATGAGTCAGCTCAAGATCATCAAGCCCTTAGTTAGTTGTATCTTAAGTTTTCCGGAATCCTTTGAGAATCGGGTAGATATTATCGAACGCTTCATAAATTTCGGAGCGAACCTTAGCCCCGGTGAGCACGACCTGCAAAGAGCATCCGATATCGATTCGACCTCCGACGACGATCAATGAATGATTTTTTTTCTGCCCAAGGATGTCTGTCTCGAGAAACTCACCTTGCCAGACACGAAGATCAGAAGGACAATCCTCGGTTTCACCATACGATATATAAGACCCGGGAAGAGCTCGGGCTCGTAGGAAGAGAACTGACAGTGAGTTAGAACCAGACCCTCGAGACGGATGGGAAAACGCACGTCACAACTGCCGACCATGTTCTGAATTTTGAAGTCGAGGAATTTCGCCTGTCAGTATGCGAAAACAAATTAGATTGACTCTCATCTCCGAGGAGCCGTGGACTGGGCATACTAGCTCCGAGGCTCGAGCTTCCCACAGTGCTTCTCTCGGAGAGTTTTCACGCATACGCACCTCGAATCCCAGCTTCTGGACGATACGGGCATATTTCCGAGCAGCTAATCGTGACTGATCTTCGGATTTGGCTCCTGTGCACACCATCTTGCCTGAAGAGAAAATCAGGGCCGTCGTCCTCGGCTCTCTGATCCTCATGATCACGGCGGCGAAACGCTTCGGGTTGTATTCGGCGTTACGGGCTTGCAACGCGATTTTCTGTGGGAAATTTCTGTCAAATGACTTCTCCACACACTTTACTAATGGATTCCTCCCCTCACGGTGGAGCACCGGTCCCTTCGATGGAGAACAGTTCGCGGAACCAACCTTGAGATCTAATCTACATCCGAGATTGACAGTAGAAACAATATTCTGCAGTTGGGGAATAATGTTTGGATCAACCGACGCAGGGGTCTGGGGCGCAGGTGTTGCGGGAGCAGCGAAGTTTCCCACGTCTTTGGAGGGATGCTGTAAGCGAGATAAGCCCTTAATAACTACGCTGCAGAGAACATCAATCGGGCTGTGTCCTTCGGAAGGTACATCGTGAGTACTGATAGCTTCCTTCACGAGACATCGGTAAGAGAATTGAGAGATGCTAACTGCAGGTGTGGTGCTTCCGAGAGGTGGCGCGTGACCCATTGGAGTTTGTGGTTGCATCATCGCCTGGGGTGTCATTCCAACCGAGGGCGGGAACTGGTTCGACCTTTGGAATGAATATAATCATCGAAACATGAACTCCTCGGAACATGGACATAAGCTATAGTGCTCTGCGGACAAAAATTACCGTGGTGTGGCGGCATCGTGATGCATTGGTTGCATGGGGGACGGGGAGGGCAACATCAGTCTATTCAAAGACTGAAGATGGGCTTCCTCGGCGTTGTCGAGCCCTCCCATGTTCGCCCAGACGTTGGGCGAATTCATGCCCAACCCGTGAGCGTTTCCGTGAGGATCCATGCCGGAAAAACTGGAACCCATAAAATGATGAAATCATTCGCCGCGCATTCATCGAGCTCTGGGTTCATCGATCTTCCGCAGAAAATCGGTTTTGCGATGGTTTCCCTCCAAGGACCTGAGCTGCACTACCGGCACGAGCCGGGGGAAATCGTTCCAAGTACAAGTCATCATATTAGTTTTATTCACATGGTCCGCAGCACGTCATAAAAATTTTGAAAGAGATTTCGTGTCGAGAGCGTAGAGTTATCGATCTCGCTGATCATCCGTTCCGTAGAAGTTTGGCGCTTCTATCAGAAAGTTCGAGACATGAGTCGAGAACTGCCTTCGCTCCGGCCGTATGAAGCGACTCGGATAAACAAGACGACAGAGTACAGACATCGCGTGCACTCGAGAAGCACGATCGGGGGGCAAGCTGCGACTCACAATTTCGGGTGCTCGAAAAGGTGACTCGATTCGCGACGGAATCACGACCACATATACTCTGTATATTCGACTGGCGCCACTTGTAGAACAACTTGTGCCTGACTGAGATCGATCCCCGTCCACAACAACACATAGACCCAAAACAACACAGACGACGACGACGACGACGAGCTGCAGAGCAAGTTTTTCTCACACGGCGGTGTGTTCACTTCGGCGGCTTCTTCTTGTCGAGAGTTCTCTCGCCCCCAGCTAGAGTCATGGGCAGAGTTTTCCCGGAGTCTTGATGGCTCCGGCGGCGGCGCGCAAATTTGAACGAAAATGCTCGGCTAATGATGACATAACCATATAACACAACGATTCCGAAACACTCTGAGACGGATACAATGGAGATGATTCCCCAGGTCGTGAGAAACGGTACGGAGAATTCGTCAGAGAGGATCTTTCCTAATGGATAGTCTCGGATAGAGCCTGATTGCTTCGCGCGGCGATCGAACCGACTCCTGATATTGGAACGCTGAGGGAAGAAGCTCAACTCATCCATCGAGCTGAGTCGGTTCCCCTCGTGGCTCTGAGGATCAGGGGGAGGTTCCGGAATGGGTCGAAGAGGGAAGAGCTTAATCCAAAAGGTGCATCTCAAGCAGATCGTAGCCCCGAGTACGGAGGTGCGTTCGTGATTAGAGCTAGCATGATCAGGCCTTCATCATTCTCCGAGCTACATCCACCGGTATTTCGAAGATGTTCGTAGAGCGTTGGATACACGAAGGACTTGGATCCCGAAGCTGCGAGTATTGTCCCAGTCTGCGAGGCTGGAGAGCCCATATTCACGGATCGGTGCCTCGAGATAAATGGGTTCGTGGACGGAGAATGATGAGCGGTGCTTGAACATTCAACCTGTACTCTGCACAGCAGAACATTTGGCTAAAGCTGTCCCCCAAGTCTCTTCCGGCATTCCTCTCAAACTCCTCCGATCAATGATCGGCCGACTTACCAAAAGTCCGAGCCGCGCTGGCTGCTTCACATTCGAATTTTTGCTCCCGCCTGGCCACCGGATGCAGCGGCGGCGGGTCGTGGCTATTGCTCCGTCCGAGAGACAAGGTCGCGCGGCCGGTCAGAGTGAAAGCTAAAGTTCGAAACGAATCAGGAAAGCAGGAAGCCGGGGAATCATGCAAGCTCTCCGCTCGGTCCGACATCTCTCGAAGGCATTGAGCCGAGGCAAGGCAACTCTGCCCGATCTTCCTTACGACTACAATGCCCTGGAGCCGGTCATCTGTGCTGAGATTATGCAACTGCACCATTCAAAACATCACAACGCCTATGTTACCAACTACAACATCAGCTCTGAGAAACTTCAGGAGGCTGTGAGCAAGGGCGATGTCAGTGCACAAATCGCTCTCCAGGGAGCGATAAAATTCAACGGAGGTGGCCACATCAATCACTCGATCTTTTGGCAGAATCTGTGTAACCCGAAGGATTCGGGAGAACCCAGCGCTGAACTCCAGGCAGCCATCACGAAAGACTTCGGCAGTCTTGAGAGTCTGAAGGAGAAGGTGTCAGCGGCTGCGGTCGCTGTCCAGGGATCGGGGTGGTCTTGGCTCGCCTACAACAAAGCCACGAAGAGTCTCCAAGTCGCCGCTTGCGCGAATCAAGATCCTTTGGAAGCGACCACGGGCTTAGTGCCCCTATTCGGCATCGATGTCTGGGAACACGCGTATTACATCCAGTACAAGAACGTACGACCGGACTACGTCAAGGCGATCTGGAAAGTGGCTAATTGGAAGGACGTCTCCCAGAGGTTCGCAAATGCGAAGTAGGTTGATCTGACAGATCTGTCGCGCTGACGGAACTCACTCAGAATTGTTTATTGATTCTCACTTATTGTTCGTTTAGGATAGCCGAATGAGTGAAGAAGGATTATTTCAGTAATGATTCCGTCTTTTCCCTATAATTAATCCCGTCAAGATTCTCGATGAATATTCCGTATGAGCGCGATGCACTCACGTGTGCAGTCGCGTTCACAAATTACAGGCATCGGTGCGAGGAATCGGTCGATTTTCGCGGCGCACACGTCAAGAGCAACGCGAGGAAACGTGTGATACGTAGAGATAAAGGATTCGACTGTCGATGGAGTTCTCGACTCGCGCCTAATAATCGATAGGAACTTGCCAAAGGGTCAGGCAGGGCTCATCTGCAGATTAGTTATTTATTTAACACTTCGCAAGCTTTTCGGACAGCTGATGATCACAACAGATTTGCTCCTCGACAACTTCGAAAGAATTATCGATCTTCCCCCAAATGGGAACTCTGCAGAACTTGTTATTGACCTCGACGTGACTGACGTACAGAGTGCCAGCCACAACTTGCGAAGTAGCTCCCTTCACACCAGATGGCGATATTCCAGCGACGTTGAGGGCCATGAGCAGTCCAGGATCTGAGCAGGAAATCTCCGAAAATCCACCGACGAAGCCAGGTCCGTGTTGTACGGCCACACCGAAAGCAGGGTCGCACTCCCCGGCGGTTTGTGTAACAGCGTTCAGGTCAACAGCTGCGTTCGCCGTTCCCGCGGCCAAGCCGAAACACATTAGAATCCACATCATTGTTGCAAGTCACAACGCTCTTTGGATGGATGTGGCTGCTCACTATGGCGATTCGTCGGGTGGAAGAGTGTTCGCCGCTCCCAGAGGCGCGTGAGACTGTAAAGACGAGAGCATCATCGCCACGGACGTTGATGGATGATGTTTTCAGCTACGGTCTGAGTCGAAGGTGAGATGCCGAAATCAGATAAGCTCCGAAATATTCCGTTGAGAGTGGTCTCTGAATTATATCATCGCGAGGACGCCGATGAATGTTCTCCGATTGCACTTGCGGGGACCTATTGGGGGAAATGACTTCGAGGGAGATTCCGAGACGAATATTCATGTCTATGGCTCCTCATCCTGAATATATTCATCCGGGCAGAGGCTAGCTGGACCATTCGGCATGCCGTGTTCTGGAGAAATTATCGAGACACATGGCTCCCGGGCGGTTCCTCGATTCCAGCGTGTCCGACCCGCGGTCCATGAGAATAGACGTCTCGTCATGTTCGTACCGCGGGACGATGAGTCACCGCAATCGCACCAGCGGAACATTCGGCAGGAGATCGACGACGAGCGGGCTGGGAAACCTTGGAAATTTTCCTTGAGAGATTGCGCTGACGCTTCCGCGCATCATAACACGGGGGAATACACCCCAGCTCCATATTCGAATCTCGAGACGTCCTGAGTGGAGTGTTGTCCCTATTCCTGAGAGGTTCAGGAAGACCTACTCCTATCATTGGGATTCGGAGCATCGTTTTCACTCTCGGAAACGAGAGCTCTACCTAGAGTCCTGGATAGAATAGGGCCTGGACATTCGATAAATCGGAACGTCAATCCGAGAGCTCTGCGTGATCCGTATTCCGGCGCATCGGTCTCTCTCCGAAGATGATCATTTGGAGACAGGTCACTTTGGATGCTCGAGTTTGCCCCAAAGACGTAACTGTAATGCCGCCCGGAGTAGACGCTTCATTCACCAGCATTCTTGAGCCTGTCTCCCGGGCTTGATCTCTCCTACTGCAGCTCAGGTGATCCATCACGACAGGTTCCCCATCGATTCCCATTAACAACAAGGCTTCCGACTGCATCTACTAGTCGGCGAAAATGCGAAAACGTGAGAAAACCCTTGCCATCGGCTTTATTCTCGCATAAAAACTCGATATGTTTTTTGTATAAATAGGCAGAACCTCCGGATGTGCTTTTTCGTGAAGACAGGCAAAATCTCTCGATAAACATGAGCGATAGCGTCACCTCAAACTTGAACGATACGATCAGACGCGAAAAAAGCAAGCTCAAAGCTTGGAGAATACAGGGGGCTCGGGATCCTTAGAGATGATAGCCGCCGCCGCTGTCGTGAGATCTTCTGTTTGTAGATTGCAAGCATTCCAAATGGCTTGATAGTCTAACGATTCGTCCACAGAATGGCTGCGAGAATATGCCAAGTTCACCTGCGGATGAAAGCTTTCCTTATCCTCCGCGATGATTAATCAGCTATTGAAATAGAAGAAGGAGAACACAAAGCAGAAAATCTGCGCTTTCGAAACTCGTGCAACTGAAAATTCACCTTTGTGCCCTGAACAGCGACTGGACTCTGAGACGCGATCAGCTTCGCCATGTCCAATGACGCTTTCATGAGCTCGTCTCTATCCTTCAATACTCGCGACACGAGCCCTTCTCGTAGAGCTTCTTTCGAATCGAATTTCCTGCCGGTCAGTGCCCATTCATTGATGACAGAGCCGTTTCCTACGACGCGATGAATTCGTTGGAGTACACCAACGTCTGCGCAAATGCCGACATTGACCTCTTTAATTGAGAACCACGCGTCCTCGGAACAGTATCTGGAAATTCAGGATCTTCCTCTTGACACAGAGAGGAGTACATTCCAGTCACAACGAAAAGATTTCTCCTCCGGGAGGTCTACCGCGAGGCCGCCAAAAATTCACTGGGCATAAGTGTCCCCACCTGATATCGCACGCTGTGATCAAGCTCGTCCCAGCTCCAATGCACGCGCTGTGAACCGCCGCAATCACAGGCTTCGGACATTTCTCGATTGCTGTGAATGTGAACTGATAACGAGCCACAATGTCGCGGAGTTTCACGAATTTCCGAGAAGGATCACTCTCGTCATTGAAACTCATTAGAACAGCTGGAAAAGACAAATGTTCAAGAGTTGAGCACCTATGTGTTATACTTCACGCATATGATCGATTATTATCATCATTCGTAGTGTAATCAGATAACAAGCAATGATTATGCGAACGATCGAGGTGGATAATGAGATAATCTGAATTATAACGAATTCTTCATCAAAAAGGTCAACGTGATATCCCGATATGTCCAATATTATATGTTGTCGACGGGTGAAATTGGGAAAGAGAGCCCTCGAAATTCAGACGGAAGCTCGGGGCTCTATCGATTGGAGTCTGCCGAAAAACCTTCGGAATTGTGACGTGAATGTAATTGGAGTCGGCTTACAAGGGGAGTGCCGAACATGTAAGACGCCGATCGGGCTGAAACTCTGGTCATAGAATCCCCACCCCGAGAGAAGTTTAACCCTAGGATATTATCTGCGTATGGCCACTTTAAGGGTGTTTAAAAAATTTTCGAAAATCCGCCCTTAAGCATTGACTCTATGGGAATAATGGAAAATACTATGAACAATGGACGAATATTGGATCTGCCCGAGATATCCGAAGACATAATATGTTTTTGGATCGCCGTATTCAAATTTGGCGCTTCTTCATGAGTGGTATCGACTCCCAATTCCTTCGAAACAGCCAAATAATTAGAGCCTTTCTACATAAACGGAATGGAGCAATTTATTCTGACGAATTCAGGGTACGTGGTAGTCCACGAAGAAGCACTTCACACATAGATTCTGCTTGCAATGTATGCATATTATGAACGGAATTCCGCGACATGAATCACCGGAACAAACTTCGGAGACCGAGAACAACATCTCGGCGATACTCAGGAAGGGTATCTCCGGCACATCGAAGCCGGACTTGTACCAGCCGTACAACCACATACTTCGGAAATCAGGGTGCTGAAAATGATTCTAGATGAGTGATTGGAGTCGAAGGACATCATCGCGGCGGTCGATGCGGCATCCGATCAAGCCACATGCTCGAGTCATTCGCTTCGCGAAATTCTTCTACATTTGGAAGCAGTAAACGTCCAGCGGCTGAATCAGCGGTGTTGACCCCGGCGGTAGTGTCTTAAGGCAGATTTCTTCGTCGTCCAGTTGGAACAAGCTCTGATCTCGCTGTCCGCCCCAGGAATCGAGATAAAGCACACATCGATCCACTTGGGTGCGATCCAGAACTTCCTTTAGAATTTCCTGACACCAGATCTTCATCAGTCCCTTGTTCAACTTCCCAACTTCCCAAACTTGGTGCAAGTTACAAACAGATTTTTGTATTCCGTTCATAAAATGCATACATTGCAAGCAGAATCTATGTGTGAAGTGCTTTTTCGTGGACTACCACGTATACTGAATTCGTCAGAATAAATTGCTCCATTCCGTTTATGTAGAAATTTGGCTCTAGTTATTTGGCTGTTTCGGAGGAATTGGGAGTCGATACCACTCATGAAGATGCGCCAAATTTGAATCCGGCGATCCAAAAACATATTATGTCTTCGGATATCTCGGGCAGATCCAATATTCGTCCATTGTTCATAGTATTTTCCATTATTCCCATAGAGTCAATGCTTGAGGGCGGATTTTCGAAAATTTTTTAAACACCCTTAAAGTGGCCATACGCAGATAATATCCCAGGGTTAAACTTCCCTCGGGGTGGGGATTCTATGACCAAAGTTCCAGCCCGATCGGCGTGTTACATGTTCGGCACTCCCCTTGTTAGATTCTCGAACATATAGGAAGAGTTTCTCATCCGAGACAAGAAACAGAGAAATTTCCGAAGAATCATTGAGTAGACTTTTTCAAGCGTCAGCATGACGATGTCGACTGATCGAGGCTGGCTGACCCAGAGCAATCGAATGTCAGTATCTGCACTCGAAATTAAAGACCTGGAGGCAAGCTTTCTGATAGGAATGATTGCTTCGCGGTAGCTCACCTGCTTGCTCAGCGAGATCCAAGCCGGCTGTAAACATAGCGCCGGCTCCGGATAAAACGACAACTCTGCAAGACAGATCCCGTAGTGATTCATTTTATCTAATATGGGTACTGTCAATTCGGGCAGCGAGAATTGCATGTACTATTCCCTTGATTACCTGCAGTCGGGATCCTGACTTATTTCGGTGAAGCATCTCGGAATTTCGTCCCACATCGCACCATTCATCGCATTCCGCTTGTCCGGACGATTCAGCTCCACATTGTACACGAAAGGTGCGGGTTTATGGACCTGCCAAGAGATTCCGGTTCATTTCCCTTTATGTTCAGCAGACTCCCCCCAGAGTTATCGCCTAAGGTCCGGCAAGTTATCCTGAGCGATCCATCGGGCCTGTAGCACTGATGACTGTTCCCGGGTAATTCTGCGCCGAAGCACTCTCGCCAATGACTTTCCCTGCCACGGTTTCCGAGAAGTCGGAGCAAGGCGCTCGGGAATGACAGTTTCTCGGTATGTCATGAGCTTCCATTCCGCATGTTTCGCCTAATTCCGAGTTGGATCCGGAGATCTCTCTACCGTCACTACCGGACCTAATGGCACCGAACGGGAGCGAGGGGGTAAGTCTCTGAACAAAGAGGATATTTCCCCTACCGAAGCCTAGAATCGGCCCTCGAGCAGAAATCATGCGTTAAGCGGACGGAACGTATCCCTTTTCGATTTCCTCGGGTTTGTCTCATCGAGCAAGATTCGACGCTGTTTTCGATTGGCTTGACAGGTCCTCCGAGGCATACCGGAACCGGGATGCAGTTGTCGGTGTTGTCTCATGTCGGCTATTCGCTACTCACTTTGAGCGTCTTGAAGTCTGTCGAAGCAGCTCGTAGAGACATTTTTTGGATTCCGGAGCGCAGAGCTGCCGGTGCTCGTACGAGTAGGGAAGCCATTCTTTCCGAGATGGACTCAGAGAAATGGGACACGTAACTGTGGAGAGAATTCGTTCGTGTTTCCCTCTTCCGTTGCCGGCTCGGTGACCCTCCACACAGCACAGCTGATCGCCGGACCAGGTGGCGCTGCACTCGTCTGTGACTGTTCAGACGCGCCAACAGCGCAGGGCGAACTCCTACTCGCTCCAGACGCTCTATTTCTAGCTCAGAACTTGAAGAAATTCTGCCAGCCTCCTGATTCCATGCCTCCTCCCTGCCCGGACAGACCATTGCCGTGCAGGAGTGGAGGGGAAAAAATTTTGCATTCATGAAACGATAGTGTCAGCGAGAACTTTGCTCCTTGGAGCAGACAGCTCTCGCATTTCGGCCAAAGCAAGGACAATAGAGGCCGACGCGACCCGTTATCTAGATTTCGAACGATCAATTCGAATACAGTGAGCCGCCTCCGGATCCATCGGGAGCATGAATCGAGTGGAAGATCTGATTACGTCGCATCCGGACTTCCCCAAGAAAGGCGTTCTATTCAAGTGAGCTGAATATTCTGCAGTCCAAATCACCGGCTCCATCCTAGGGAATGATAGAGGGAGGTGATGACGCCCTCAGCGGAACTCCCCGATCCCCGCCCGCGAAGTTCCATGAGTTGGACTTCGTGAAGTTCTCTTCGTAGAGCACTCGATGCCATCAGCGACCTGCAGGAGGGCTCGGTTCTACTCCGCTGAGGCCCCGGTCCATGGACGAGCGGAAGCACGAAAATTCTGAGCACTCGGGTGTCAGTGGAATCAGCGGAGCGTAGGTTGGGTGTCATCGTCGACAACACGCGACGGCGCTGCGACGATGTGTTCCGTTAAGCGCTATTTCATTTCAGGGATGTTCTGCCTGTGTTCCGGGACCCGAGGGCTTACCATGCCCTGATCGACGACTTGGCGCATCGGATCCGGGCGGAAGTGCCCAACTGCTGCGGTCTTGTAGGAGTCGAATCCCGAGGATTCATGTTGGCATGTCCTCTGGCTCTCAAACTCGATCTGCCCTTCATTCCTGTGAGGAAACCAGGCAAACTCCCCGGTGAAGTGAAACAAGCAAGTTTTGAGAAAGAATACGGAAAGGTACGGCATGTTCCTCATTCGCAGTCTGAATACACGAATCATCGCTCGTGGATCAGAGATTTTCTCACGGATCCTTCGGCTTGCAGGATCATCTCGAGGTTCAAGTAGAATCAATTCAGAAGGGAGGAACCTACGTGATCTTGGATGATCTGTTAGCTACAGGTGGGACCCTGAAAGCTGCCTGCGACCTGCTGACAGAGTGCGGAGCAAAGGTAGGACTCTTGAAACCGTATCATTCTGGGTTGCGACTTTCGACTACCATCTACGGGAAAATTATCTCGCTGAGCATGCCGATCGTCGGAGATCGGATGCTGGCACGGCTCTGGTCGCGGGAGGAGGATATCGCGGAGAGTCACGATTTGGCTCGACTCGGCGAGAGGTTGACCCGACTCCGAGCGATGACAACAGTCGCGACTGTTTGACGTCGCTTCCGATGAAGGCCGCTGGGAGCGAATTGTAAAGGCGGTGTGGCATAGAATCGACATCGCTGATGAGGACGACCAACCTGATTTGGGATCAACGCTGCTCAAGTCCTGTTGCAGCATTGTGATACGCGCCACTTCCAGCCGGAATGAGACGGAAAACTCGGGTCCCTCTATGTATTCATTCATTCTTTAACAGAGGGGTTCTTAATTTACATCTTAGCGTATCATTCCGATCAACGAAACCGGTTCTTCACGTCATTCGTCAGTGCATAAAATATCTTACATGTTTCGTCACTTTGGAGCGAAGAACTCCGCCAGGTGAGACTGAGTCGCGGGCTTCCGTTTTGCCGTCCAGTCAGTGAGGGCCAGAACCAGGAAGGAAACTACTAGGATACCGATGAAGAAGGCAATCAGAATTGTGCACACCATTCTATCCGACATTGGGTTGCATTGGAAACCGTTTGCGGTTCCTTGCTGTGAGTTTCTCCGCAGCTCCAATGGAGAGTCGGCCGACGCCGCCCTCGCATCGGACCCTGCCGCGTTGCTGCTCGCTCCGTCTCCTTCAGCGAGTTCTCTCATCTGGATGAATTCTGCTGGCTGGCTGGTGCTCTCCTCCATGCTCTTGGCCCTCGGGATATTTTCAATGCTCCTCTGAGCAGGGGGCCACTCGCTCGTCCATCTAGTGGCGACTCTGGAAAATTCGCAGTCTGAGTCGATGCTAACAACTGAGCTCGAACATCAAACGCCGCTAAAACAACACGCGCTTCCATCATCGTTGTCGCTGTTGGAACGAGAGTCTGAGATCGTTCGCTGCAAGCTTGAAGAAGCCGGAGAGACTGGAGAGATTTCATGCGGGAGAATCAGACTCTCCGCAGTGTCGATGTCGCGCGGAGAGAATCAGGAAGATGACTTGAACATTTACACTTGAACCAGAGCTCGTACTTGGCTAATCCAAGCGATCCGTTCGCTAAGCTTAAAATCGAAGCATGGAATTCTTCGGATCTGTGTATATCGGATAGACTCTCTCTGCTTCGATCGGGAGTAGTTGATTGCCATGGGATTCCACGATCGCCAACTCTCCGATTCTCTCGGTACGATCGCTGCGACTCCTACGCTGTTGAGTCAATCCTATTAAATCATCACATTCGCCTTCGATGTATTCGATTCTGATATAGAGCACCGACCTCGCAATCACTGTTCGCGAGAAGCATGACTACTCCGGAATCGGGTCGAGGCACTGGAGATGAAGATATCACCATCTGCTATCAGCAATCATTTCACCGGCACCCTCGCGGGCTCGGCCAGCAACCATGTCGCGGAGTCACAAGTCCCGGCTCGACTCCCGGAAAAGACTGTTGGAGCGAGCCCATATCCAAAACTAATACTTATACGGCCGAATATAGAGCGTCCCGTTCATTCGAAGCGCTTGCTGGAGACCCAGGTCTCGCTAGGGCTTCCCGCGAATCCAAATGACAACATGTAGGCGAGTGGGAGCGGTTTTCAGGGTGGAGAGCTATCGGCGGACGGAGACAGTTCTTAAGGGCGATACTGTCAGGGCAGCGCGATTGAACAGCAACTCACCTTCATCGGCTGAAGAGCAACGGGGAGAAATAAGATCAAAATGTTCCGCATTGGGATTCGAATTCGCGACGCTTCCAAACAGAACGTGTGCGACTGTGCGGGTCGCCACCTGAACAAGGGGAGAGGGTCGCAGGCACGATCACAAATGTCGCGCACCACATTGTACCATATTCCGACATGAGAGCTTGCGCAGTACCATATCGGATCGGTACTGGTTCAGCGAGGGATACGGGAGAAAATCCATCATGTTTCACCAATCTCTGATTTCGGATTTGAATGTTATCTAGGACCGGGGAAATCGATCGCTCGCAGTGGACTCGAGCAATGGTGCTCCGCTTCCTGGGAAGCCATGACCTCTCGATTCGGAGGTCCTGAATCAGGATCTCAAGGAGTCTGTCCGAGAGAAAAGCGACAGGAAGACTCCCCAATGGATTTGCGCGAACGGCGATCCGTGTCACATCATGGAATCACCGAGTTCCGATAGAGATATCGTTGCTGATGCGCTTTCCGGCAGGGAACGCTGTGGTCTCTGCTATGCTTACCTCTGTTGGCGATAAACAATTTTACGGTGTTCCCACCGAATGCTGCTGCTGCCTCCATATGATACAATAGAGCATTGTTCCAATCGAGCGATCAGCTGACTGGGATCCGTTTCCTCCGCTGACCTCTCCGGGTGATCATGTTTCGAGCTAGAGCGGAACCGATGCCAGAAAAGCTGACGCAGCCCGTCGATGATCTCCCTTCGTCTCATTTCAGGTGGGATGCGCGTTCCTCGTGATGGAAATCTCCGCTCTCTCGGGGAGAAAAACCGTCGAAGACGCAGGTTATCGAGTCGAGTCTCTCATAAAGTATTGATTCGCGGATGAGACGATTCGTGCCGCTTCACTATGCATTCCATATCAGTCCCGACCGGAATCGAGGCTCGCAATCTTCTCGGAAAGTGTCGCCACGAAAGCTCGATTCAAGAATAAAATGCCATTCGGAAGTTGGAGTTTAATTTATTGGCATGGATCACATGCACTGACAAGAAATCGAAACCGGCCTTCGCACTCTGTTCTGAGAAAGCCACGCCGAACGCGCGTTCACATAGCATGGGAGTATTCTCTTGAGGGTCTCCTTTGCTTTATGAATAGAGGATTGATCGAGTGACGATATTTTTGCTTGAAAATATTTACAAGACTATTTTAAAATCATCCGGTACGGACGACGCCCTCGGAAGCTGACCGAGTCCTGGGAGCGGGTCTGAGATAACTCAGCGCATACATTCCCTGAGAGCCCGCGGGGAGCTTAAAGATTGAAAGCGGGCACGTATAACACGATTCTCCATTCCACAATTTTGGAAATCCTGATGTCCGTCGAGGACCCGTTCTGACGTGAGAAGAGCTTTGCCGTCAATACCATGTGGACATCTTGCGGTCCGTGTATTCGCTTACGAACGTATACCTGCGTGAGGCCACACTTTAGTATCCCACAGTCCGAACAATGAAAGATGGTATCTCCATCTTGAGGAACACAAGAGACCCCTTTTCGTAAACCTAATTTTGTCTACTCACCCTAGCCGATGTTCGTCGCGACCTTAAAGTAAAATTGTCCTGTGTGGCTTTTGTGAGACCCTTCTGGTGGAGGATGACGTCCCGGACCTGCAGAGAAAACTCTACGTGGGCATCGCGCTGTCCGCTAATGCGGACCGTGACCGGCCTTCGCGAGGAAGTTTGACTCAACGGTGTGTGGTTGAAGACAATCAAGTCTGGTTGGAGCGAGCATTCGGATGGATTGGGACAAGGCTCTTTTCGCATACAGCGCCTGCAGATATGAAAAAACATGACGATCTCTCGAATCCCGAGATTTGTGGTGTCTATCCCTGTCTCTCGCGAATATTCGATGCAGTCGAGGGAGAAGAACAGAAATTCGGCAGAAAGAAATTTCGATCTTGTCATCGAGAGACTCACATCGCATCGGCCCCGTCTTCGGTATAGTTCGGCGGACATCCATGGGATATGCATCGGAAACCACCGCCGATGTTGAGGCACGTGTCGGGCTTCGTGCAATTATTCTCCGAGGGGATAACGCATTCATCAACGTCCACACATGTATCAGCTTTCGTCTCGTATCCTACGGCCAAAAATTACGGTCGGTCAAAAGACACCGAGCGTTCGCCCTTTCGAGCAGTAGGGGAAATCATCCTGATCGAATGCTTGACAGCATTACCTGCGGGACAGCTGCAGTTGAAGGAGCCGTGTGTGTTCACGCACACGCCCTTGCAAAGTGCATCGACTTCACATTCATTTATGTCTGGAAAAATTGTACATGTCCCCGATAATATTTTTTTTTTTGTTGATGAGACAACTTCCGTAGAGTCTCAGATTCCGGGCCGCACTATATTGGTGGTGTCAGCCACTTTGTGATCACTCATTCACAAACATTCTGTTTCGGAGTAATTTCTCCCTTCTGTTCTGTTTAATTGGGTTCCGCGGATCGTTCTTCGCTTATACCTGAATGCAGCCTGACTTCCATATCCGGAAACGGAAACCCACCTGTGCACTTAGTCCGGTCGTTTTTATCGGGCTCGAAGCCCGCCCTGCATTTGCATTCGAAGGATCCGATCGTATTCTCGCATTCATGCGCACAAGCTCCGGGATCTTCGCACTCATTGATATCTAAAAATTCATACAAGACTGTGAAAAAAGCAGCTTGCATTTGTGGCCCGACTACGCGTTGAAATGAATGCGTAAAACGTGGAATCTCCATCACCTTGACATCGTCCGTCGAGTACAGACCGACGGAAACCCCGACCGCAAGCGCCGGTGCCTCTCGTCACGCATATTCCTGATGCATCTCTCTCGAAACCCTGCTTGCATATGCAATCGAAAGTCCCGAGTCGGTCGACGCAAACTTCTTTCTCCAAATCACAGTTGTGCAAGTCTGTCAGAGATGTAGTGCAGAACCAGATCAAGTTCAGATCGATCTCACATCGGTGAGCTCGATGGTTTTTCGAATTGCTCAAGATCACTCAATTCGAACTCTACCTTGGGAACATTCGTCGACATCCTCGCACTGCGTTCCATCAAGACTTCTTTGAAGGCCAATCGGACATGTCACGAGGTTCGGAACGCACTTGAAACTGCCGGGGGTGTTCACGCAGTAGCTGCTCCGCGGACACGCGGGAAGATCCAGTTCGGTACACTCGTCTTGATCTAGAGGTGTCGTCCACGTATCAGAAACTCGTATCGATACATCAGCGTAATCGAGCTCGTCATGCTCATCGTCTGGTTATTTAGGTTCAGCTGCATCGACCGAGGACTTACCGACACATTTGTCTGTCCCAAGATCATGACGGTATCCTCGTAAACAGGTCCGCCTGATCATACAGCTGCCGTCCGCGGCGCGGACTTTACCCAAGGCCTCGCAGTCCTCATCCTCGCACTTGTAGGTGCCCGGTAGATTCACACATCGTTGGCCGTGGAGGCAAGGAGGCCGGTCGAACTCTTCGCACTCGTTTTTGTCTTCGGAGAGAATACGATGAGGATTATTTCTCGATTCTTGAATCGAGAAGCTCTTCAACAGATAAACTCACCGATGCAGCTTCCGTTGACCTGATTGTACCCGTCTCCGCAGTACACGTAACAACTGAACGATCCGAGAGTGTTCGAGCACAAGGCATGCTGTCCGCAGGGATTCCGGAAGCGCTTGCACTCATCGATATCTTTGAAGTGAAAATCATCCGTCGAGCACGTATCGAAAACCCATTAATCATATCAGACGGAATTCACGACGAGGATAAAGATAAGGAGCAGCATTCCTCACATGATTGGAAGACTCACCCCTGCAAACGGAGCCGACTCTTTCGAAACCTGTCTCGCAATCGCAAACGAAACTCCCGACAGTGTTTCGACACCTTTCCAGTGCTCCTCGGCAAGGGGACGTTGTTTTACACTCGTCGATATCTTCGCAGTGACCCGCGGCATTTAGGGCGAAGCCTTGGCGACATTGTTCCATGCAAAGGAAGCTGCCCTCGAGATTGATGCACTTCTGCGATGCTGAGCAGTTGTGAGTCCGTGACGCGCATTCGTCGATGTCTGCTCCAGAGATTCACATGGGTTATCAGTAGAGCTTCGATGAAACCGGACATCCCGATTCTAGACGCAGGCTCAAAACAAATATTCAGACTATAATATCCGAGGCTCAGGGCTCCGGGCTCAGGTTCATGCTACATCATGGTCAGAAGTTTCTTACGGCACCGCGGAAATCAATAAAGTCTCAGTTTAGACTTTCCGAAGGAGTCCGGAAAGTCCGGCTTGTACTATCGAAATGTCCAGTTTCATCAAAGCTCTAGTTATGGGTGATTAGCACTCAGCATGTCTCTCGGGAACATCTTTCCTTCCCCGAGTCGATTCCCGCTATTCGGAACTCGATTTTCCTGAACGAGCTGTATTCGTATACAGACCCTTGCAATCTCCCTCGGCGTTTCGTCGGAAGCCGTACCGACACGTTTCCACGAGATTCGATTCTTTGCAGCTGAAGGATCCGGCAGTATTAACGCAGTCTTGTCTTCCCGAACAATTGTGCGTGTTCGCCGAGCATTCATCGATGTCTTGAAGGAACACAGACCCCTTAGACAAGCTATTTGTGGGAGCGAAATTCCCGTCGCATAAATTCGGTCGAGGCTTGGAGAAATAATCGTTGTGCTCACCGACGCACTCAACCTTCAAGGGGTCGAGTTGGAACCCGGCTCCGCAGCTTGGGACGCACATGTAGTGACCACCGAAGTTGACACAATGCTCTTCCATGGAACAGGCATTCGCAGAAGCGCAGTCGTCGAGGTCTAGAGTTCATCCGAACGGGGAGCAATTTTTGGAAAGCAAAACTTAGATGAAGCCGATAAGTGTTCTTCCCCTGCGATCGAGAACACACCCCCGGTCCGAAATTCAACATCGTGCGATTTCTCGACTGACAGCGAAACGCTACTGCTTACCCACGCAGCCGGTCCCAGTTTTGAAAACGTATCCGTCAGCGCAATCCGAGCTCGTCGTAGGCTTACACGAAAAACTTCCCGGCAGATTCATGCAAACTTGACCCGGCTTACAGCTGTTCACATCGACTCTACACTCGTCCACGTCTGCAGATATGTAATTTATCAGCGTCGATCGATATAATTTTCTTCCCGATGTCACCTGCCTGTGCTAAAAGTAACTTTTCCATCTATGGATGCCGGCATTCCCTGACCTATGCATTCCCGTACGTGACGGTTGTACGCGAACCCTGGCCGGCACTTGGGATCGATTTCTGGTAGCAATGGCATTTTCGCACAGTCGAAACCGCCAGCTTTGTTGATGCACAGAGATCCTTCTGGACAGATGTTCCTTCCCGAGAGGCACTCGTCGATATCTGAGGAAGTTCATGAAGCTTAAGTTCTGGGATTCCGATCAAGAACGAAGCCCATCTCAGATTTCTCTCAGATATCGGTCCAATGCATTCGCGGATGTCTGTAGGCTTGTACGCTGACAGTGTACCTTTGCAGGAGGAGGATTCTTGATCGAAGTCGAAGCCACGAGGACATTCCGATACCGTGGGTTGCGAGCGCTGGGTCCTGAGTCTGTCCACGACCGACCGATTCCGAGCCATCCCATCGAGACTCGCGTGCGCACAACACGATCCGAATACTTTCGAGAGCATGGGATCATCGTCAAGCCACGCGGCAGTACATGTTGTGGACGAGATTCCCGCCCTGCAGGCGTCACAGCATTCCTGGAATCAGTGGAAATTAATCGTTGAGCATGCGACCACGAGTTTCGAGAAAGTCCAGCGCGTGTCAGGTGATGGAGCGGCGACCCATTCGCCCCTATTTCCTCAGCGCTGTCAGCCCGTATGGGTCCAGCCGAGAGGCGGGCTTGGTATGCCTGGATCTATCAGAGCGAAGACAGGAATCCTCCTCGAGGTAATTATTGTCGAGATCATCGAATTCAAGGTCAGTCCACAGGTCCAGGAGTCACGAGGGCCAGCATTGAATACGATTGAGCCTCCCCTCCAATTCTAGAGATGTATCGCGGTTCGGAGTAAGTCATATCCACACAGTCCCCAGTGAGGGACATGATCCGAGTCCGAAAGTGTTGATGAGGCCCTCGGAGTGTAATAACTGTGCCTGGGAGCGAATGCAAGCCCCGGTGGCGAACAGATATTGGTAATGTCTTCCGCGAAGAGCGCACTCATGCTGGGTGGTAAACACATCTAGACTTTCGGGTAAACATTCGTGATAACCCTGACGTCTGAACCCAGGTATCTAAACAAAATCAGGCGTCTCTCGCTCCTCAAGAGAGAAATAAGACAGTGATCGGTTAAGGAGCGGGCTTCTCGTCCGATATCGATTATTTTTCTTCATCGATCGCCCGGAACAACAAGAATTAGCCGCGTCTCTCTGGATACGATCCAGAAGCTGAATCCTCTGCATGCGACGGCCGCGACGGAACTCCACCATCGCCGGCGCTGCGAGCCGTCGATTCAGCACTCACCTCGGCTTTTGGCGATCGTAGATCTTGACAAGTTCCATTCGAGAGTGCTGTGAGTCTCCCGACATCACATTCCTTCTCTCTCATTCTTTTGCGGCAGCATCTTCTCATGTAGCCATCGCAATTCTCGGGTGATTTGACCTCGAATCCCGGCCCTCTCAAGGTCGCGGAGTTGCAATTGTTGTTGTTTTCGGCTAATTGCCGTCCAACCTCACAGCATAGTGTCCTCGATTGATGCGCGTCGACTGGAAGCGAGACCACCTTAATTCGCTCCCATCCAAAACATGGGCTCGTTAGATGAAATTGCTTTCAAAGAGATCAGGCGCTCTGAGAGACGGTCTGGGGAATTGAGATTGAAAGCGGCGGAGCTCCTGCCGGACTCAACCTCGTGGAAAATGTTTCTCGGGCACCACAACGACCAGGAAGTTGGAAGAGCTTATAACTGAGAGTTGCGGTAGGTCGGGCCACAGTCGTTTCTCCTGGAATCCTGAACATTTGACAACCGAAATCAATTTTACAGCGCCCAGAGAATCGAAATCGGATCAAGGCTGTCGGTGAAGCTTCAAACACCTTGCCTGTCACGTTTCCTCCCTAAGGGAACCAGGATGAGTTTCCGTTCGGATTTCCGGCTGAAGATTTCGCAGAGGAAATATCCGGCAGGCTCGATTATTTCGCCGCATTATGATTGTCGAACGATGGATCGGCCTCAAGCGTTGCCCTCTACATATACGCTTTCGGGCTCGACTTTGAAGAAGGCTCGCATCGATGAGGCGCGAAAGGATTCGTACGAGAGTTTCACCATAATGTTCGGTCGTCGTTGAGGAATTTTTCGAGTCCGCAGCGAGCATTCCTCGGAGTCTGCTCCAAGTTGACGTACATAAGGTCTGAGATGGAAACGCTCCTGGCAGCTTCCCGAGACGGGTCCGATCGTCGTGTGACAGGGAGCTCGATCGGGTTCGCTCATTGCAAGATCAACCCACTCCCACAGATTAGGAAGACGCGAACGAGTAAGAGCGTCTGAAACAAAAGCGTCGTTTTGAAACCCACCTTGAAAGATATGGAAGGCGGACGTGAAACCTATTTTCACGAGTGCAACGGAAAAACACCACAAAAGAGATTTCATTCTGGTTTCCGAGCTACGCCGGAACGTTTCTGATCATCCAGAGCGAGTGCGGCTGCACGCTTAACGCAGGCCTCTCCAGATCGAGCGAGGGTCGCACGGCCATTCAATCCACCATTTGTTTAGAACGTGTTGTCAGCATACATAGAAACCGCATCCAATGACGTGCGCTGGATGTAGGCGCTACTCCCGTGCGCAAATGTCCGTCGAAATTCGTTGCCGGAAATAAATCATCTTTCGATGGTCACGGAGTGATTAGTAATGGGCGGCGGGTTTTTGGCCCGTGGACGATCACGTTAGTTCCTTCGCCGGGAAAGACGGGGGAGTATTTTCTCACGTCGATCTCGGTCCGAGCCCCATGAGATAATCGCAATGCACGATCAGCAAGGAGGCATCTTAATCAATAATAATTGTAGCGCCCGCACCGCATCACCGAGCCACCGAGCTCGGAGATGTTTTCTAGCAGGGTAGTGAGAAGCTTCAGGATGAACTCTTCCTAGTACCCTGGGACTCTCTCGCCTGTCGTGGGGATGAGGCAATTAGACGCGAATCCCCAGAATGAGTCGGCTCCTCGGAGCAGAGACATTTTTTTTCGGCGAAGCTGCTCGCAAAGTGGTGACCCCATATTCCTCAAAAGGAACTGCAAGTGCGAGAAAGAGGGGGGGAGGAGAAAATAGGAAGAAAAGGTAGAAGAGCCCTGGGAAAAAATGCATTGAGGCGCCACCCAGAAGAGTGGGAAGCTCAGTGGAGTGCGGCTCATGTAAATAATACCGACTGAAGAAAACCTCAGGCTCTTTACCTGAAGGGAGAGAGCGGTTAGTGTTGGACTTGAAGAGGTTAGGAATTCTTAGTATCTATTCAGAGATGGCGAGAATATTTCCTCTGACTGCGGTGAACGTGCGAAACGAATCATGAGAGCGCGCGACCATTAGGTAGGTTGCCAGCCGGTGCATGATATATGGAAATGGGAACCGATGGCCGTTTCCGGAGCATCAATCTGAAGTGGAAAGACCTCTTCGCGAGAGAGCAGTTCAAGCCGTCGACCGAAACTTTGCCGAATGTTCCCGCTCAGCCGCGGAATGACGCCTCAATCACTTCCGAGAGTTCTTCACCCGATTCCGATAGTGATTCAAAAGAAGTCCGACGAGGAGCCAGTACACAGAGTTGCGACGCCAGGTCAGAGAGTCGAAAGCGACGAGAGTCGGATCCTTGAGTTAGCTGAAGGCCGAGAAGCAGTTAGGGAGAAGAACGACCGGAAGTCGCAGGAAAGACCTACGAGGGTGCTTCGCCTCCGTTCTCCGCCGGGAAACCCATCCGCCCGGTCGTGGTGGACTGCGGGATAATCGGGCGGAATGCCTCAACCTTTTTAGGGAATGTTATCATCAAACGATGTAAGTTGTACCGGAAGCGGAATAACACTATCGCGGGCACACTTCTCAGCGGATGTTGTGTATATTTCTATCACCAGAAAGTTTCCCATATTTGGCGGATCCGAGCGGTGGTCTTGGAAGAAAAGGAAATCGGAGCGTTTTGGACTCCAACCAGTTCCACCAGGGTGTCGGATAGCTCTCACCGCTTCCCCGCCCGAGTCACCCTCTTGCTTAACTCCTCCATCTCACCGTCACGTGTGGCGTCTCGAATGATTCCGAAGCCACCCTCAGAAGCTATCTAGCGAAAACAATAACACGTGTTTAGTGCGAGCTCCCGAGTTTTTGCGGAAAAAAGAGTTTTTTCGCTGTGAGTCAAGGTGAATCGACGTAGGTAAGAATAATAGGTTAGTTGGGCTCTTAACAAGCCAAAAAAAAACAAAAAATGGCACAAATAAAGACATGTGCTGAATGCATGCCGGCTGTACAAGCATTGGAGGCCAATACACAGGTCCCATGCACCGCCTGCATGCTTGTGAGAAATTGCAAGCGATGCGAAAATTATGGCCTGATGCAAAAAGAAAACATCAGCCTTAAAAAAGCGAACGACTCCCTCTCAGCAGAACTGCGAGAGGCGAAAGATAAAATCATCGCGATGCAAGTGCAGCTGATCGAATTGAACAGCTCGCTCAATGAAACAAACAAAAAATATCGCGAGTACCTAGAACAGGAGAAGGCTGGGCGGTCCCGAACATATGGAAACTGAGGCCAGAGAGCAAGAGTTGGAGCCGACGAGCATGGTACTGATAGCAGGCGACGAACCGCTATCGGATGTTATGGACGCCCCGCATGCACTAAAAGTGATATACAAACGGGGTGTCATGATCAAACAGGGGAACAACCCCAAAACAATTGAAGAGCACGTAGCCAAAACGAAATTGGTTTTGAGCAAGAGAGAGCAAACAGAGATGAAAGACATTCTCTGGTTTGTAGGGCTAGGCGACTTGCTAAGCGCCAAATTCAGACCCACAGAAACAGATGAAGTGGTTTGTGCTCTTCAAAGAGCCATTGGTGAGATCTCGGAGGAGCCGGGGGTACGAACTGTATCCTGGGCGACTCTAGTTACCCCTCCTGTTGACGCCCTCAGGCATGTAGCCGAGGACATCAACAACAAAATGTGCGAGTGGGCGAAGGAGATCAAGAGCGGCAAGATCCGCATCCTCAATATGTGGCACATCGGTGCCAACCAATAGACACAGTGTGGGGTAGCACAGGCTAGCCATAAGAGGCAGCCGATCCTCACGGTCGTTGGCGAAGAAAAGGTGGCGGAGGCCATAATAGAGTGGTATCTCGAACTGGTGGAATACCCCGAGGAAGAGATGACCAAAATGCGGACAGAGTTCAAAAGATTGACTCTGACGCAAAAAAAAGGAGGCCGGTACCGAAAGACAGGTACGAGAGAGCATGCCGGGGCCGAGCTTCTCTCAGCCTCAGGCGCGAAGTTCTGGCCACCAGTATAAGTGGACTAGGGGAGCTACAAGCGCTCCGGTTGCACGCGGTCGCGGCGGCCGAGGGCAGAGAGGTGCGGGGCGGAGAGGCGATGTCTCCCGCGGAAACGCACCGGCCCCCTATCCACAGAGGGGTAACCTGAGGGGTAGAGGAAAACCCTACCCGAAGCCCGAGTGGTCTGAGCCGGGCTATAGATAGGATAAGGAGTCCTGCCGACCAGAGCGAAAGAAAGCTCAGATTGACGGACCAAAAAGGTTGAGGTACAGAGGCACAAAAAATAAAAAGGCTAATGTAAGATCAACTCCCTAAGTATCTGTGTTTTCAATCTAGCTGGGGGCAGGACGAAGAGCAAATGGACGAAACTGATGATGAATGCGTTCGATAACACGGAGGAAGGGATAATTCTCCCCTGTGAAACATGGTTGATGAATGGGGAGACACCTCCGACAATCAAGGGCTACCGGTTTGTGGGCTCTAACAGAACAGGGCGCTCGGGAAGACACGCCAAGGCGGGCACTGGGATTCTGGTCCCCGAGAGCCTCGGAGATGAGGAATGGTCGGAGAAAGGCAAGGACTTCATTGCAATCGGGATGAAGGTTCTCAAACACGATTTAATAATAATCAGTGTATATGTAGCTCATGAGAATTTTGAGAATAATAATCGTCTATTCAGAGAGATAGGGGAAATACTCAGAAAACGGTGGAAACAGAATTCACTCATACTGATTGGAGGAGATATGAACGCTCACCTAGCGCAATGGGCTGGTGCGCAGAATGTCAGGGGAGACCTTTTATTGGACTTCGTGGAGCAGAATCAGCTTCACATCATGAATATGGTCGAGATGTGTGAGGGAAGCCACACTAGGGGCCAAGCAGTACTTGACTATGTACTGTGCAGCGACAGAGCTCGGGAATATATCCGAAGCATGAGGATCGATGAGACTAGGATCAGGAGCAAAGAACTTTCCGATCACAACATGATCAACTTAGAAATAGCGCTCCCCGGTGTGTCAGCCCCAGTGAAGGGGAAGAAGTTTGTGGTCAAAACCAACAAGAGCAACATCGCTGAGCTCACCAGACAGGCATTGGGAGATCGACAGGAGAGAGGTGAAAAGGTTGAAAACAGAGACCTTGTAGAGCTCATCAAGGAACACTCTAGAATCTCCTCAGAGAAAGTCAAGATAAATCAAAAATATCCCGAATGGTCGGTAGAGATAAGGAGGCTAGACACCATCCGGAAGGGAATCAGTCGAGAGCTCAGGCGAGCAAGGAAGTGTAAAGAGGCTGATTTGGAGGAGATCAGCCAGAGATACAGAAAAGCAGTGAGCGATGTCAACGAACGAATTGCTAGAGAGACTGCGGACAAGGACAAGAAGATGTACAACCACATCACCAGGTGTCCTAGGAATCAGAGAGCCAAGCGCTTCTGGTCATAATGTAAAAAAAAGTGACGACAGACCTAGGAGAGAGCTAACAATACAAAAACAGAAGAGGGAGAAGTTGTAGCAGACGATGGGATCACGGATCATCTCACGGAGACTCTGGAAGAGCTCCTAGGCGGAGACGAAATAGGTGAGGGGGCTGAGAGAGGATGCTCCAGAGAGGCGAGCAGACTGGCGGAGCCGATCACGGATTTTGAGATAAGTGTATCAGATGTAAGCATGGCACTACAAAAGGTTGCAAGCGATACGGCTGCAGGTCCAGATCAGATCACAGGAGAAGTCATTAAGAAGCTAGGTGAAGAGGGGCAAATATGCCTCGCACAAATCTTCACAAGAATAATAAGAGGGGATGAAGACATCCCCATGGAATGGAGTGAAGGCAGGGTGGTAGCACTGGAGAAGAAGGACTCTACCAGAGGATTGCTATCCACCTACCGGCCGATCACGATCACGGCGGTGCTCTACCGAGTTTTCGCTCGGGTTATTAACCGGAAAATACATGACTGGATAGAAGGTCATGGGATCCTCGGTGAGATGCACAATGGGTATCGGAGAGATAGAAGGGGAGACGACTGTATGTTCATTGTCACCTCAATCATAGAAATGACGAGAGCAGAGAAGAGGGGTTTGAAAGCCACCTTCCTAGACTGCACAAAAGCATACGATAAGGTGGACAGAGCAAAACTCTGGGAAATTCTAAGCGAATGCGGAATGTCTCACAACCTTATTTGCTTGCTTAAGCTCATCATCAGCAACAATAGTGCTGTCCTAATCACAGGATCGAAAAGATCAAGACGGGTTGTAGCTAGAGCAGGGTCTGAGACAAGGGTGTGCCCTGTCACCCACCCTGTTCATGCTGTACATCTCAAGATTGGAGAGAAGGCTTGTAGAATCGGGCCGGGGAGTGAAGATGAGGACCTCGAAAAACATCTTCGAGAATAAAGAAAGTAGAGTGAGAGTAATCCCAGGGGTGCTATACGCAGATGATCTCCTTCTGCTAGCACACTCCTGGTCTGAAATGAAACAGTTGCTGCAGATCACCACAGAAGTGGGAAACGAGTTAAGACTGGTCTTTAACCCGAAAAATCTGCTGTATTAGACTTTAACCTGTCCGGCAGTGGGGTGAGCCCGGAGCTCAGCATCCAGGGGCTTGTGATCCCCACAGCCAAATCATACAAGTATCTTGGCATCACGCTTTGCAACAACCGGAACTACCTAAGTGAGCAGGAGAAAGTGTGGAAAGAGAAATCCACGAAAGCGCTCAGGCAAATGTACGCCGAGTCGCTATGGAAGTTCAACAGGTTTGAGGTGACTAAGATACAATGGAAAGCGACATGTGTGCCTGCGCTAACCTAATGCAACTCGGTACTGATAGCATCTGCGGATACGCGCAAGAGGTTGGAAACATCGCAGAGGGAAGCAGGCAAATGGGCTCTAGGGCAACCCACCTTCAATATAGCCTATGAGTTTATTGAGGGAGAACTGGGATGGGCTTCCTATGAGAGCAGAGAAGCCAAAAGTAAAATTCTTTTCTTTGCTAGACTCGAGCGAATGCCGAGCCACCGATGGCCAAAAGCCATCCTGGAGGCAATGAAGACATGCAACATCTTCAGTGAGGCGTACAAAAGAATGAAACACCTCAGCAGACTGTATGAGTGCGAGTTCGATGAACCGCAACATGTGGAATCTGAAGAACGTCACTGGAGAGCCTTCCGCAACGATGTGAGCGACCGCATCAGAACATTCACTGACAGGGAATGGAGGGAGAACATGGAAACCAAACCGAGCCTGAAAAGATACAGGCAACACAAAATGAACAGGGGCACAATCGATCATGTATATGACAACACAAGAGGGAGTACCCTCCTGGCAGGGGCCCGTGCCGGTTTCCTCAACACAAACTCCTTCAGAGCCAGGTTCGAAGAAATAGATGGAAAGTGTGAGCTGTGCGACTGCCACAACGAAACCCTGGAACATGTCATCATGGAGTGCGACGAAGAGAATAGCTCTGAGCCAGAGATCCGCAAAAGACTAGGCCTACACGAAGACTCAACACGAGAAACTGTAGAGCGAACAAAAAGAAGTCTAGAAAGATGGGAGCGGGAGACGAAGAGATATGTCCCCTGCAAACGTCGGATCAACCAACCTATAACCAGCTGAGAAGACTCGCCCCCGCGCATGGGGTCTCCTGGATACAATGTAAACCTTGTAACACCAGGGATGGTTAATAAATCAATCAATCAAGCTCGTCGAGAAACGCTCGCTCTTCACGGATCGTAAGGATGATCGAGCCGCTGTAAGTTTTTCTCTCCGGTAGCATGACATAGCTGACGTGCTTGAGATTGATGTTCACTCGCACCCCGGCTCTCCTAGCAATTCAGCCAAGAAACTCTGCGGCTCTGCGCCCCGCGCACCGGAGCTTCTGATGGCGGCACGAACCTCGCTCGATGTCTCCTGGATCTCATCGTCAAACTGAATGAGCGTAGGGATCCTTTGCTCCCGGGTATCGTCGATGATCTCACGGCTACGATGACGATGGTCGACGTGGACGATCCTCTGGCGCTCGCTCGCTCCGACGACGACTAACGCGTCGCAGATCACCCGTGGGACCTCAACAGTCCTCACTTTTGAGTCAGAACAATGGTTCGGATGTGACGAAAATCAAGAAAGAGATCAACGTGAGTGACTAAGATAGGCAGTTCTGCACGCCGATGATTTCTCGAGCTTCTCCAGCGATGTCCTTTCCGGAAATCTCCTCTCACGCCGGCACGAGGCACGACATACGAAAATTGTAGTTGAGATTCTTCTCTCCAGATCGCCGACTCGGAACCCCGTATCTCGACATCAGTCCATTCCTTGCTGGATAAGAGTGCAACCGCAGGGCGAGATCAGGGAAAAATTCGGACCAACATCCGGTACCTGTAGGCTCCCCGCATGAACTCGCGCGCTGGAAGGCTCGATGTTAGGGTGATCGGAAAGCGCGCGGCACCGCCGCTAACGCTTTTTACCCGTCGCCGAAAGCGACGATGTTGAGTCCGTTATTAAAGAGAGTAAGTGGCTACTTGGCCATGGAGATGCATGAAGGTGTTTTCAGTCTCCTCCAGTCCTAGGGTATCGTGAGTTACTGCACTCGATGTGTCCCATTCGATTACGCTTTGATTAGGTTGGAGGAACAATTCTCAATATCTCAGTAAACGATCCGTGACGTGAATTCCCGCGCACTAGTACGTCGAGGAAGATGTTCCCCACCTCGTCGATCTCTTCAATCTGACTTTATGTTATCTGTTAACGTTCGAGGTGATCCCCATTCTCCCGAGCTTGGATCGTCTCCCGCTCTTCTGTTGACAACAACGATGGCCACGACAGCAGCAACTCCGGCCGCCACGACTGCGACTTTCGTGAATCAGCTAGGAGTAAATTATTTCGAATATTCGAGTCGACCAAGGGAGATGGGATGGGGTGGATACGGATTCGAGGCTGATGATATTGATACGGCAGATCTTTCAAAAATGATTTCACATAGAAGGTTCATCTGGTCGAGGATCTCATGAGGTTGACCGAGCTCTTCGAATCGTACGAGAAGGTTGCCCCGCCGAAAGCCAAAGGAAGCTTCGGACAGCTCGTTCGACTTCTCCGAGGGTGGGTTTGATTAGGTGGGAGGAAACAATCCTCATTTGAATAATGATTGGTGATGTTATAGACATGGATTCGGATTAGCATAACTGTATGATTTTCTGTGACATCCTCCTCAAGGTTGACATCAGACCAATCGAGCGATTCCTCGCTGCTCAACTCTGTCATTGAAATATCGGCCACCACAATGCGACTGAAAACACTCGCCGCGTCAAGCCAAATTATCCGGATGGGCTTGATTGGTTTTGTCGTAGTTTTTCTCGAGTCGAACCTTCGCAGCGCGCTCGCGACCTTCGCCAGTAGTTCGGATGGACTCATCAGCAGCATCTCCCTAACCGCAACAGTGGTTCAGGTTTTGTTTAGCCGCAAACGACTCTCGGAGGAATACGCCCTCAGGCTTCTCAAGCACTTGTGTTCCGCCGCAAAGAAGGCAAGCCGAAACCCCCGATCCAGCTATCGATTCCTTAGCCAAACGGAACACCTAAGCGATAAGACAGATCAATCCTTTGTCACCGGGAGATGGTATTCGATAAGTCTTATCAACAACTTTCAGAATAAGTCTTGGAAGGTCATCTACGTTCTTATCCAGCTCCTCGAGAAACTGGTGCCGAGGTTGGATAACTTGAAGCCCAATGTAGTAAGCCTCATCAAGGAAGTCATCAGCCAGCTGCGAGCTTTGTGAGTGAACTCCGGTGGCGATCTCGAAATCCACAAATTGGCGTTTAGAGCTGCAGGAAACTTCTCTGGGCCCGAGCCACACCTGAGAGGGCAATATTGACACAGATGTCGAATCGAAATTCTCAGCGCACCCTCATCTCCGATAAGCGAAGAAGTCGCCGCGGCAAACCTGACCTCGGCGTTCCGGGATCTCGTTGGCGCCATCTCTACTTCCGGCCTCACATCGAGCCAGCAAAACTCACTCAATGGAATCGTTATATTGCTTATCTCCATTCTATTGAAGATTATTACCGGTGACAGCACGAAGCTGCGTCACTTGATGGAAGGCATCCAAGTCAACTCGAACGCTGACTGCAATGGGGTTCTCGGTGCTGTAGGCTGCATTATCTACGAGCTGATCAGCAAGGCAGGTGGAGGCCTCGGTGAAGCGGTCGTTCACGTGGCCGGTTCGACTTAGACCTTGAACCGGGAGTCTTCATCGCTCCGAAACACATCTACTGTGAAGATGCCTCGCGCCATCTCGATCTCTCGGCTATCAGCCGTAGGCTCAAGTCTCCGTGGATGAGGGAATACCCAGATCAGCGGTTCTCAGAGTGGGTTCCAACACTGATTTCTCCGGGTTCCGCGCTGGGATCCCTCAGCTTCCGCAAATTCCATCAGTCGATTTTGGGTCTAATTATAGTTCAAGAGTTCACAAACTGTCAGTTGTCCTTCATCCCATTCATGTGCCGGTAGGCCCGAGTATTACAGTAAAAGCTCGTTATAACGACCCCCATTACAACGAATTTATCGGTACAACGAACAAGGAATTTCTCCTCCTTCGGCCAGCTCGCCATAGGGATAGTGTTGAGCGGCATTCGTTACAGCGAAAACTCGGTACAACGAACCAGTTTCGTCGGTCCCTTTGTGTTCGTAGTAACGAGCTTTTACTGTATTAGACTAATCTCCGTCTGGCGGGAAGCTGTTCTGAATACATTGTACAACTGTTGTGAAGCCGTGACGGTCCCACGTGTGGAGGGAGAAGGATTCTACAAGAGGGGAAGTTTGAGATTCACGGATATAGATCATCGAGCCAAGTATGTCTCATAAGTTCTTGAGCTCGAGAAGAGCTTTATTCGTCGAGGTTGCTCCGAATGTTCAGTTCCTAGTCAGGGCGATCATCGTTCATGTAAACCCGCGGAGCTTAATTAAAATCATCTCAACTCGATATCTGTTAAAACCCCTCGATATTGGCTCGTCGGGAACGGAAAGCTTTCGATTCAGCTTCAGGAGTGAGCTCCTGGGATATCACTAGATTCTGCGTGAGTGGATTGGACCAGAACGAAGCTGTGTGAAGCAGGTCCTCAAGGCTGATCAATCAGATCAGGGGCATTCGCTCGGAAACCACACGGAAAAGCGTAGAGACTTGAGAAGTAATCGGACTTCTGGCAGGGTTCTTGCAAGCGGTGCAGAAGATCTGGGATCCCCTTGACCGGCTTAGCGTCCTGTAATCGACTCTACTAACCACCGCTCGAAACCTGTGAGTGACTATGCTCACTCTGCTTCTCAGAAATGCACAGATCTCGGTCAGCTCCGGCCCTATAGGGAAGTATTCCCTGAAGGTTGAATTCTCCGAAAGAATTCGAGTTCCCCCCCGGAGTCGGAAGCGACCGGGGCAGTCCTGATGTTCGGACTTCTGTCATCGAGTCCCTCGCTGATTAGTCCTCGGCGATCAGAAATCTACGAAACTACTCGAGCGAGACCGACGCAGACTCTCGCTCAGCTATCGTACAGCTCATGGTGACCGTGCTGGATCCTATGCTACCAGACTTCGAAACCCGAGCGAAATTTAGGGTGCTCAGGTTTCAAGGCTTCCAGAAGCCGCGCGGGCAGGCGTGGGCTGTATCTTTGCGTCAATGTTAAGCGGCTTTTGGGAGATCGCTCCGAATATGGGTGATTCTTCCGGTTGATCTGGCGAGGGGATCAGCGACACTTCCAACAGATTCTCACAGCTGATAGGATCAACGATTGGAGGCGCGTCCAATTGAATGTGAAACTGCTATCGCGGACTTCCGCCGCGGAGAAGGGTCGCAGTACACCGTGGTCGATGAGATCCCCGTTCACCGTGTCTGGCCCAAATTATTTTGAGTTTCGTATTCATGGTTGCGGTGTTCGCGACATCATCGAAGTTCCTTCCTGGAATGACTACGCCCGGGACCATCGATTGCCTCGAATCAGTCAATGAGCTCTCAAGGCTGGATATGCTTCAGTCGAATAGACAGTATGGTCTCCAGCAATCGATGATATCATGTGCTCGACGAGCTTCAGGGTGCATTTTCCCCGATCAGCATTCGCAGGACAAAAGTTAATGCTCACAGAGAGGGAAGCGACAATCACAAAGCAATTATGACGAAGTTGATCGAAAACCGCGTCCCCATCATCAATGGAAACCTCTCTTGCATCATCAATTCACGAACCGTGAGGGCGCCTCGCGCCCAGTAGGGCTGAGATGAAATCGTAGTTGAAAGCCTTCACACAATCTGCTGATGACTCACGATTCAAAAGAGGAACACGTGAATCTTATGAGAAGCATGCGCCTGAGCAGCTTGAAAACTACATCTCGACCTCGCTGAAGTGATTCGCCATCGGTTGAAAGAGGTCTGAAGTCTGTTCGGCGTTGGAAAGCGCCAAAAATTGATTCGGCGACTGATAGACAATTCGATTTTATTCTAGAGTGGGATTCATTCATATCTACGCCTCCTAGCTTGCGGCAATCTGCCCCTCCGACGAGTGAGCCGCTTTGTTCCTGATTTTCGCTTCAGCTGGCTCCAGAGGTCTCCCTCGCTGTCTGCGCTTGCTTCCGAATATATTGTGTTTAATCTTGTCGTCTTTCTCTTCCTTCCTGACCTAGATCGAGTTGATGGTCGCCGCCGTCTGCTTGGATAGTAATAAAGGCCGCTGTTGTATCCTCCTACCAATCCCTGCTCGAGAATCGACGGAGGCTCGGTGGCTTTGCTGTGATTATGAGCGGCACTCAAGGCACGGCGACTCCTACTCCTCAACAAGTCGATGTTCTGGCTTCCGCTGATTATTTCTTCTGGTCTGGGGATCGCAACGATGGGCTCCTGGGCTGTCGAGGATTCTTCCACAGTTTTGCCTCTCGGGGAACTCACGCCCCTACCAGGAAATTCCACTACACGGTAGGAGAGGGAAGCGACGCCATCGGGGATGCTCTGCGCCGCGCAAGGGGCTAATGCCGGTATCGAGATGAATAGATAAACAGCTGCGATGAGAAAGATAATCTAGGCTTAGAGTGGGACTCATGTCCCGGAGCGAATCCCCAATCATTGGAGAATTCCAGGAGAATTCCGAGCTCCGCGAAAACCAAAATGACAAGGAACACTGCCTCAGTCATCACTTGAGATTGGGAGTAAGGGCACCAAAGAACAGAGAAAAAGGCAGGCAGAAAGGCACCGAAAAACTGAGAAATAGGCGGCCGAAAGGCACTCAAAATCAAGGAAAAAGGCTTCTAGTAGGCGAGAGACGGAAATAAAGGCATCCGGAATGAGGAAACAAGAGAAGCGCCCTCAATAACGACTCTCGACTACGACAATGAAATTAGGGAATCATCGGCTCGCGGGGGTCGAACACCCCTTCCATCGCGCACTGCGGCTCACTAAGCTGTGAACTCGTGAACGCGACTTAGCCATCGAATTCGGAAATCCTATCTCAGAAGCACTTTTCCAACAAAAATGTCCGATGAAGCTTTAAAAAAAGCAAAACGTTGCAGGAGTTTTAGGAATAGGCATCGTGCTCGGAAAACCTGGACTTCAGGCATTTCCAGGCACTGATGGCATTCTGCCTCAAGTTCCAATCTCTAATCTTCGCTTAAAACGACACTTACCGTGCATTGTCCGGAATAGTCGCATCCGACCGAACAGCATGACTGAATCGACTCAGAACGCATGCGTCCCGGAGAAACACTCTCGGATCCGGAATGATTTGCGTTTGATCGGCCTCGGACTTCCTTCATTCTGCTCGGACAAAAAACCCTTCCCAGCGGAAAGCAAGAAACTTCAGGATGACGTATTCCAGAAGCAGCGCGACTCCTTTTTCGAGCCGAAAGCGGCGCTTCTCGCCGCGGTCATCAGGCTCCAGGCGGACCCCCGACATCGCATCTTCATTGAAGTTGTGCCGACGAGAGCTCTTTGATCTGAGTCTCTAGAGCGAAACGAGCTCGGGATCGAAAGAAATCGGAGGGCGCAAAAGCAAAATGATTCTAACGAGGGACGTTTCTTATACGGGTCAATAAATTATTTTATTCGTCTCTCTAATACCCTTCGGGCGTTTATACTCTTTGATTCGGGAATTCTTTTGATGTATTGCTGGCCGGAATTCGATTCGTGTTGCATTGCGGAGGTGAATCCTGGAGACGAGCTCCACTAGCTGAAGACTATCGGTTTGACCGGGAACTGCCGCCGACGGACCTTCGAGACTATTCGGCCGTCGCGGTTCGATGCTCCTCCGGATGCGTCTTTCGAGCTTGATTTTCTCGAGGGCCGCGACTTTTTGCGTCGCGGCGAGCTAACCTGCGGAGGTCGCGTCGTTGTCGTACTTGACATATCACCATGCTTATGTGAGCACGCTGAACGACGGCGCCGAATAACCAAGCCGGTTTGTGAAGCTCCTCCGATCGCGCGGCTCCGGTGCTCCATCAGCGTCTCGTCGATGATCTGATCCCGATTTCCTGCGATTTCTGCCGTGGTCGAATCGACAGCTCGCCTCGTCGTGTGGAACTGGAGAAACTGCTCATCTCGTTCACGTGGGAGCAGGAGCGTGGAATTGTCCCGGTCGGCGGATGTATAGCCGGCGGTCAAACTTAGGACCAAAACTAGAGCACCTACGGGGAGATATGACATGAGTTTCCTGGAGATTATTGCTCAGAAAATTGTACCGATCGGGAGGAACCTTCGGTTGAACATCTCAGCTGCGAGAAGATGCCGAGGCTACGGTGAACGGACGTCTCCGAGGAACGAACCCGTGAGAGAATCTGAAAAAATCCTTCGATTCTGCCTCGTGAGAGGTTAGTACAGCTCAATTAGGGCCCGTCAAATCCGGCCCCGTGTCCAAATATGGATGCTACAGCAGATTTGACTCCCAGTACACTCCCGCGTGAAGGAGGAAGATCGGAGGGCGAGAGCTCAAGGAGTATCCTGAGAAGTCCTTGCGGACTTGACCGTCTGAGAATACGATCCTCGATCGCAAGCTACCGGCATTCCCCCGAACACGAGACGAATACTTTCGTCATGTAGCTGACAACTCATCGACTGGCTCGCCCCCGTCTGCGCTTTACCGTGAGGAAGCTGAGCTGAACGAGCTTCCGGGAAATTATGTCAGCCCCACTGACAAAGAGCTCGAGTTTCCGCTCAGAGAAGGTCGATTCAGCCAACGCGGGGGAGCCGTCGCTCTCGAAGTAAT